AGTCACAAATTTGAGTATTGTGTGTTGGTCCTGAAATTTGCCTAAATTTAATTCCCACACTGCTCTGCATCAGTTAATATACTTGCTTTTTTTTTTACTGTGTTGAGTGTGCCCATTCATCCTAGACATACAATTTAAAATTTAGAATTACTTTTTCCCTAGAATAAAAATAGAGCAGATTCATTTTTATTAATAATTTCATTATAGTTTATAACTCTAAATTTAGATTGTGCGTATTTCTTTTGAATTTTTAAATTCCTTGATTTCTAGATAAATAGTTTTTCTTTCAGCATCAATTTTACAAATCAGCTTTTTGTGTTTTGTATACTTCCCTTGTATTCTACCTTTTATTTTTGTACAGCTACATCTGTTGAATAAACCAGAAACAGCAATATCATAAGTATGCAAGAAATTAATAATAAGTATATGAAGTATAATAGAGGATTAGATCACACTTTTGTTTGAAGGGAAGGCACCTGTAATATTCTGTCTGTACAAAGCAAATGAGTCTCTTTGGAGTCCATTAAACTGTCATAAATTTTAGTGGCAATGAATGGTGTAACTTATATAGAGAAACTAGTTTATGTAGATCATCTTTCAGTCACAGAATTGAATAGTTGTAGATATTGGAACCTTAAACTCTATGTATGAAACATTGAATACATTAGAAAAGATTTTTAGATATCAATGTGTTAAGAACCCTAAGATACTGGCAATGTGGTGATAAGCTTCCTATAGAACACTCTGGCATCCAGAATATCTCAGAATCTAGAATTTGCCAACAATGGTGAAGAAGGAACTTTTGAATCACCAAAGGAAGAACACATGAGCCTTAGAAAGCTGAATACCAATAATTTCAAGCAAAGTTATTTGATTAGTACACAGAGGTTAAAGACTAGTATTTTTAAGGCTCCTGGATGGCTCAGTAGGTTGAGCATCTGACTCTTGATTTCAGCTCAGGTCATGATCCCAGGGTTGTGAGATTGAGCCCCACTCAGCATGGAGCCTGCTTAAGATTCTCTCCCTCTCCCTTTGCCTCTCTCTCTCTCTCTCTCTCTCTCTCTCTCTCAAATAAATAAATAAATAAATAAATAAATAAATAAATAAATACTAGTAGTTGCTAAGAAGGAAGAGTCTTTTTATTTTTTTAATTATTTTTTTAATTTTTTTTAATGTTTATTTTTGAGACAGAGAGAGACAGAGCATGAATGAGGGAGGGGCAGAGAGAGAGGGAAACACAGAATCAGAAGCAGGCTCCAAGCTCCGAGCCATCAGCCCAGAGCCTGGGAAGAGTCTTTTTAAGGACCAATCAAAAGATAGTGAGCAAGAGGCAGGAGACATAGACAAGAGAGTGAGAAAGAGACAGAGGAAATGAAGAGATGAGAAGGAAAGTACTCCTAGCAAAGAAAAACAATGTTGTGCCTAATGGTAGCAGTTCTACACAAAAGTGTAAGAAGTAGACAACTGAGTGGTAAACAATTACATCTTTGTAAATAGTGTAGCCCTTGAGAGCCTGGAGTTCCTTTTGCACACACGTGTGTGTGTGTGTGTGTGTGTGTGTGTGTGTGTGTGTGTATCCCAACACTCTTGTGTATAGCTTTAAAGACCAAGTCAGCATCTTTGATGGGCCAAGTAGAATACTATTGCCCAGAAATGCCTGTTTCCATGTGTTGCAACAGAGTTAAGTGTATCACAGAAGTCAACTGTGGTGTACAGTGATAATCTTCTGAAAATACCATGTCAAATGCATAGAATTGTGGTCTCTTATCTACCTTATCTAAAGTGAACTGTTATCATGAGAGAACAGTTTAAAACTTACAATGACATAGCTGTGATCAAAAGTGTTAGTCATACAGAAGTCATAATAAT